CACAAACAGTTCACTTCTAGGCTATAAGCAAAGGTGAAAAATTCTTTAAATACTTTCCCTACTAATGTCATCACGGAACTCTACAAGTTTTGAGTTATATTCATACGATTTTACATTGTCATGTTTGCGAATTACAATCAACAGCGGTGGCGCATGTAAAAAAAATCTGTCTACGTCTTTAGTCTGAATAAAACACTGTTACAGTTCTTTTTCGAAAATGGAGCACATATTCGAAAATGCGAACATTAAAGAAGAGAGAATCTTTTATTATATCAATTATGAGAAATAATTTATTAAAGCAACCGTCATGTCGATTTCGAAATTAAAAATGGTGTCAATCAAAACGAACTTCCTTCATACAAATTTATATATCCTGTCCAGGATACGCCGCATCGATACGTACATATGCGTGTGTGAAATCTGACGGTACACAGGAAGAAATCGCATTGTAGACGTGTGAACGTGTCGTGGTGATTAGGCAGTTTTAATAATGGGGACATTAAAAGTGCAAACTTGCAATTCGTGATAAACATTTTGCTAGAGAAGAGAGAAATCCAGAAAGAGAGTTAAGCGTTAGCCAGAGGCCTGAAAATAACGTTTGCTCGCTTTCAACAGGCAGGCAGGCAAGCAAGTAACTTCGACGAACTGTTTATAAAGCCGATAATTCCGCCAGGCTTAATAATTCTCGAGATCATAAATTACATTTACGAACGAACACATGCACCCGACTACGAGACTGGTATGAGTTTTGTATTTGTTGCTTATGTCGTTGCGAGTTCGAGCAGCAGAATTTAATTGAAGCATCCGGGATATGGTAATTCTGGGTCACTTAAATACAACAACCAATCAGCTATGTGTATGTATGTATGTGTGTATGTAATCCACGACACATGGACCCAAATAGAAAAGTTGAGAGATCGAGAGAGGTAGCGAGGCAGAGGAGAACGAAATGGAACAGTATTTATGCGATTTGCTGATACAGATACAGATCTCCGAACCGTATTATTCACGCATACATGTACGTCCCGTTACCTTTCACGAGGAAGCGGCCAAAAGGAGGACCTCCTCGTCTTAATGTTGCTGGATTACGTATAATAACGTTGTAGTGTTCAAAAACTAACAACAGCTGTCATATTCCGAACACGCGGACGGATCATGGACACGTTATTTTAATTTAGTTTTATTCGCTGGAAGATGAGACGAAACGCGAGTATGAACGCGAAGACGAGCGTACGAACAGACAGACACGGCTGTTGATGTCTGTTTTGGTGGCGATTCGGAGAGGTAAATGAGTTGTCAGATTTTCGCGTAATCTGGCTGCCCATTTTTTTCGCCTCGTTCATCTTTTCTTCGCCATGGGTCTGCCCTCAGACTCTACTACCTTTAATGGTTGACGCTCTTTTGAATGACATGAAACAATTTGATTTTTTTGTCAATGACGAACAACACAAACAGGAAGAAAGGCTTTTGAAAGTAATTGTCCAGATTTGGGGCTTCAGACCAAAATCGCTCCAAAAATTTTTTTATCGATTTCTGATCAATTCTGAGGGTTCAGTGATTATATTTGAGGCGGGGAGACACATTTTTTTTGTTACAGCATACATCATAGGGTACATGGTGTATCTATAGCTACTTCTTCTTTTAATATTAATAAAAGAATTTTATGCAGAGATAATCGTGAGATAAGGAGATTAAAAGATTGTATAACTTTTAACTTTCACCCCTGATCTCCTCACCCATTCCTTCCCCTACCTACAGTTTAGAACTGTGATTTGAATTTTGAAAAATTATTCAAAATTTTTTTTTTATTTATGAAGTCATAAAAAACTGTCTCCCCCACTTTCTAATATCTAATTCGTTTATGTAGAATGGCCGGAAATCGATTTTTGGAGCAATTTTGGTCTGGAGCCCCAATTCTGGATAATTACTCAAATTCTCGATGGGTTAAAATCGGATTTTAGTTTTACCATTTTTTTCGTGTTAGGTTACTTAAGAGTTTGTAATTTTACGTATGTCTATTTTTATTTTTTTTCTCATGAAATCAAATCCTGCTCCTAAAAATCATAATCACAGAACTAAGATAGGCCTTTGTACTGCAGGATAATATTTCAATCCTGCTAGAAGAACAGATCCTATAATAATCGGAGAGTTCTTCCAACAGGATAGTCGCCGTACCTAGATGTCCTGCTTACCAAAAGCTCCTTCCGATAGGACGTTCTATCAAGGTGCTCACAAAATAGAGGCATTAATGTAAAAACATTCTTCAAAAATAAGAAAAAAATGTTCCATGGGATGAATTTAGAAAGGTTTTTGGGAGAATAGAAAACCATGTGCGAATTTTGATGCTATGAAGAGATTTTCAATTAGATTTAATTAAGATACCTACATGCCTGTCGGAATTAAAATAATTTTTGATCAAATGACATTTAGTATAAGTAGGAAGTGTTAATTTTTATGTTTGAGCCTGGTGCTTTTGATGTAATTTGCACCGATACGGTTTTATCGTCGAAAACGGCATTAAGTGCACGGTTGGATGAAGATTCAAGCATTTTAAAGGATGTAATTACTGACATAAGTGTTCCTTCTCTTTTGCGCTTTATATTTCTCTCTCTCTCTGTCTTTCATTCTTTTTCTTCTGGGTCATGGTGTCTTCGTATAATAGCCGAAAAGGCGTAGCGCGGCTCGCATCTGTCGAAGTAATCATGGAAAATGTAATGTATTTCACTGTATATACATACATACATAGTAATAACAACAATAATAATAATAATAATAATGAGACAAAATTGAATGTAAAGGAGCAAGTGAAACAGGCAAAAAATGTGAAAAGGAGAAGAGCGATAGCATGCTCAGGAGGTCGTCGATGTGACAGTACATTCATCATCATCACGCCAGCAGCCACCACGGCGGTGGCGGCGGCGNTATATGATTTCATGGAGAATGGGTTCAACAGTATGCACATGAAAATCAAAATTAAACAAATTTCTCCGTGAAAATTAATTTTGAAAAGTTGATTTGAGATTTTCAATGCCGCCATGCTTCCATCAAATAAGATTGATGAGATTTTGCTGAACCCATCAACCCGCCTTCCCTTTTTAGATCACGTAACTATTGGATAACCCTAAAGTCATACTTGGTGCTAAATTTTAAAATTCCAGGACAACGTACGCCAGGTTTAAAGGGCATATCTTTTTAACGCATTGTGTTATAAGATTAAAATTTTTACGTAACTACGGGGTTGTAAACCTTTTCATTTACTGGCTATTAAAGTGAAGTCCATGGCTGAACCCATCAACCCCCATTCCCCTTTTAGATCACGTAACTATTGGATAACCCTAAAGTCATACTTGGTCCTCAATTTTAAAATTCCAGGACAAGACCTGTCAGAATAGGTACGCCAGGTTTAAAGGGCATATCTTTTTAACGCATTGTGTTATAAGATTAAAATTTTCATGTAACTACGGGGTTGTAAACCTTATCATTTTAATGACTATTAAAGTGAAGTCAATGGCTTCATAATAGAGATGAAAGCTGTGGTAGTAGACGGTCAGTCAGCCAGTCAATTTCCCCAAATCGTAAGGAAGTTGATATGTTTTCATCAAAAAATTAGTCAGATTGCATGATTCATATTACCTATTGACTGCAATTTGTAGGTAACATGGAACCCATTATTCGTTCCTTTTTACGATTATTATCAATTAAACTATACGATAGGTTTAATTAGGGTTCACCTACCTTGGAGCCTGTAGGTTCCGCATTATTACTTTCGTTTAGATACATAGTTGTCCTTCTTCTGGAATGTGAAAATGCATCGAAAAACTGGACCCCGTGTAGCTTTTGCAGCTGCTTGACAAGCGTCCAGCTTCATCGTGATGGTATTCCACTTACGTCTGCGCCGATCTCGCCTCACTTGGCCGTCCATCTTCTTTTCTCATGCCGTTGGAAAAGCACATGTAATATGAACTCTCATAATGCAGAACCAACTTGTTCATATTCCGATGCATAATCGTGCTCTTCTGTCATAAAAATGTCGTTAACCAGTAGCAAGCACCAGTTCGTCGAGTAATTGCGAAAAAAGCTCCTCGACCCATTCAGGAAGCACCACTGAAAGACCACATTGATTCAGGAGGCGATTAAATTATTTGATCTTCTATAACTAATCGTACTACATATGTATATCGCACACGTTCATGCAAATGTGATCTTGGTTCGCGATAATTTCCGGACCACTGCGATACCGTTTGTTTCGTGTAAAAATCGCGACCCGATAATTAATAAATGAATATCTTATTAAAGGCAACAAACACATAGCAACAGATCTTGTTCTGTTCGCACAAACAACATCTCGTTTACACATTCCTCAGTAAGTTTCCTTGCGCAGTGTGTCTCTCTCTCCATGTCTCTGTCGTACTTGCGTTGTCTCTCTTTGTTTCTGCGCAAAGATAATAACCTTTAAACAAACAAAACGTCGACTGTGATAACTGTACCGGTCAAGAAGATTATGAACTTAATAATTACGTTTATTCGTTACGATTTTTCGACCCACTGACCTCACCCGGAGAAGAACTATTAATGCTATTAATTATTTATTACAAATAAAGGAAAATTAATACATATGTCTCACCCCACAATCTACGTGCTTTTGGATACGCATGTAGAACAGATGAAAATATATTTATTTTAAGTATGCTTATAAGAAGCGTAATTGTCAGTTAAACAAATTGTCACAACTGATTATTATTATTTATTTTAAATATAACCAAAATTTAACCCTGGTCATATGAAAGCTCATAAAATCAGTTTGTTTAATAAAGGCAGATAATTGCAAAAGTTAACATGGAAACTCAAAGTTTAGTTAAAGTCACCGTTACCATTTTCAGCAAAGAGAACGGTGGTTATAATATAACAAAAAAAATCAATAAAGAAATTACATGAATGGCATACAATGTGCACAGCTACAGTAAAGTTTCATGTTGAAAATTTATTGTTTTCTTTTACAGGATTTGTGTCCTGCTCACCAAGTCCATGCAAGAACGGAGGGGTGTGCATAACTTCCCCCAGAGGTGATTCTTCCTGCGAGTAAGTACAAGTTTTCCGACTATTTCATTTAAATGTAAGCAGTTGTTAGCCTAACTCATCGACCAAGTAGCAATTGTTTTGTATCAAACATAAGAAAACTTTTAAATTGTCATCATCATAAGATCGTCAGTCCTAAGACTGGTTGGACACGCATCTCATTCTTTCCTATCCTGAGCTAATCTTTGCATTTTCCTAAAACTAGAACATCCCACATCCTTAACTATTTGTGAACAGTAATCTAATCCAGGTCTACCTCTACTCCTCTTAACTACTGTTTCTGCATCTATTATGTCTCTGACTAGCCCTTCGTGCTTGAGAAGGTGTCCTACCAACCTATCTCACCTATTTCTTGTTGACTTCCATAGAGTCCTCTGTTCTCCTATTCTTTCTAATACCTCTTCATTTCTAACATTCTCTATTCAAAGTATCCTCATTATTCGTTTTTTTATTGAATACGACTCAACCCTACAGTATCCTTTGCTTTAAATCCCTGCTACTCCTTCCGTGCTGACTTATTTGACTTCCTAGATACCTAAAATCAGTCACTTCCTCTAATTTTTCGTCTCCTATCTTTATATTCCCTCTTTCCCTACTGTTTCTTCCCTTGCATACCAGTATTTTTGTTTTATTTTTATCAATTATCATACAATACTGTTTTGTCAATACCGCTTCAATTTATTTAAAGCTATCTCTAACTCCTCCTTCCTAGATGCTAATACTGCTATATCATCTGCAAATCTAAGAATACTAATCTTTTGTCCCTGTATATCTATCCCTACAGCTGTACTGTCTTTTATGATGTTGATCACGTCTTCGATGTATAGTTTGAACAGTGTGCATCATCCCTGTTTGACTCCTTTCCTAATATTTACTTCCCTACGTTTTATCTCTACCTCTATAACTGCCTATTGCTCTTTATACAAACTAAGGATCACTCTTCTATCTGTGTAACTCATCCCTACATTTGTAAGTATATTTAACATTTTTCCTCCATTTAACATCGTCAAAAGTTTTTTCTAAATCTACAAATCCTATGTACGCACTCTTTCCTTTTTCTATCGTTTTCTCTCCCGCGTTCCTCTATTTCTTTTGAACTCAAATTGATCTTCCCCTAATAGTTCTTCCGCCCTTTTTTCCATCCTCCTCTGTACAATTCTAGTTAAAGTTTTTGACGCATGGGAAGTTAAGCTAATTGTTCTAAATGTCTCGCACCTATCCGCGTCTCTCTCTTTAGGTGTGGTTACAACCACGTTTTGTTTATAATCCTCTAGGACTTTTCCCGTCTCCTAAATGTGACATACGATCTCTTTTAAATTGTACAAATAAAATTTATTTAATAAGATTTTATTACTTGCTTATTCGGTACCGGCTAAGTTAATTATGTTAATTTAAAGGCTTTTAAAATAAGCAGTTCGCTTCTAATTCACCGTTTTTCCGGTGTGGCCCGCCCGATTAATGTAACATACATACAACACTGACACTGATTAAACGTTTCTGATGGAAATTTTGATTTATTAGAGCACTACTTACAGAACCTACCTAATATTGCTTTACTTTCACCATACATCGGCCTGTTTTCAACCTACTCAAAATCAAGATAAATTAATCAAAATTGCCTTCCCTTTTTTGTACGTGTATACATACACATGGGGCAAATATCTGTCCCAATTTTTTTCAGTAACAATAGCAGTAGATGCTGCAGTGTTCTCAAAAAGAAAAAAAAATGATTGTGTGTACAGCGAACGCGCCTGTCGCAGAATAGGCTTGAAACATGTGCTTACAATGAAACGCATAAATAGTAAAAAAATAGTACAATGGGTTCGTGAAGTTGCCCATCTGTTACCCTGTTCTCTAGCGAGAGAGAATAATACTATTGTAGCAGCAACGGGCCGCGTCTGGAACCTTGCGGTTCTCCACTTGGCACACGAGCGTGTTTGTCGCATTCGGTTTAGAGAATCAATGGGCCAATTAACCCCGGCATAGAGTGTAGAGACCCTTTGGGATGTGGTGCGAAATGGACCGTGGCCACTCCACAAAGTTACACTGTATTGTTTTCGGGAACTCCCCCGTTTTTCTCACGAGCCCTAAAATTTCATTAGCTTCCAGCGATCATGTAGATCCGAACTCGACAATGAAGTGAGAAAATTATCGAACCTATTATTGTACTTGTAATAAATTGTTTGCTGTTCCACTTTATTTGGATATTACAATACATACAATTATTAAAAAGTCTTATTATAAATATGTACACACGTATTTCCTTGCAGCGGCCAAGAAGCCTGTCGTCCGAAATATGTACTATTAGTAAAAGAACAGTGGATTTCGTAAAATTATTGTAAAGAAAAACGTTCTCACGCCCTTTGTTGTTTATATTAATGTTTGTTTGTAAAATGTTCTTATGCAAATATGCCTTTGGTTGTTTATAAAACGGGTTAAGTAAGTTTGTGGTTCTTTCAGCGTAATTGTGTTACGTTTTAACAGGAAAAAAACCATGAGAAACGATATTAAACACAAACAGTATTAAATAAACTTGGTTAAATGTTACTTGCGATTAGCCGTTGTGTTTAAAGTAAAAATAAAATAAAATGCTATTAATGAAATTTTATCGTTTAATTGTTAATATAGGAAAGCAACATGTTTAAAACTTAAAAATATTGTAATGTTCGTGGGTTTAACAAAATTAACTTCTAATACTGATAACGACAAAAACTATTTATTGACACTAATTATTAAAGAACCTAAAAACACTTAAATTATTACCAAACTTAGGTTATGAATTGTTCTATTTATTAACACTACTGTTGACATATCACTATTCACTGCGCTATTTATTTCACTGCTGTCACTGTCAATTTATTTCTGGATTCACTTCTGCAACGGTCAATTTATTTCTTATTTTCTCGGCGATCGTCTCTTTCTTTAAATAATCTTTTGTTTACTTTCGGGAGCCTTCTCGAAACATCCGGATAGTTTCTTTTTTCTTTGAACTGTTTAACTGCTTTCCCAGAACGCAGTTATGACACACACATTTACAAATACGGCGCACATGGAGAAAGGCGCCCGCGGCTAGTCGACGAATCGATAAGCCGTTTACGCACACGTGTGCCCCATCGCACACAAACACACAAATTGATTCCTGACATACGCTTAGGGTTTTTGGCCACAAAACTACTGTTAATATTCTAATAACTCACAATAATTTCAATCTTTCATGATAGAAAAATAATCAATTTATACTACATACCTATCTGTTGATTTATATAATTTACTTTGTCATGACATACATAAATACTAAACAATAAAAAGTGACTAACGACGGAGTTCTTAGGGCGTGAGAAATAAATACACAAATACGGTTCCGGTTACGTCTACACACACATGCATGCACCGCAATAACATTTTGTGTGCACACGCGTGTTTGTGTCTGATTGTGTTTTTTTTTTGCGGACAATATAGGTTGATACGGCTCAAGACATATTAATAAATTATATGGTTGCGATTCGGATTAAGGATCGTAGCTGGCGTGATACGACTACGTGTACGTGTATGTTGTAGTAGTAAGAAGAAAAACAGATGAAGGACAACAGATAAAAGCCAACGGCGGACTAGGTACGAGCAACAAGTTGGCTGGCTTTGGCTTCTGCTTGATTAGAATGAGAAATAAACAGTTATCCAAGTTTGTGTGTATGATATACGCATATATATGTGTGTGTGTGTATAGATGTATATGTAATAGATTTGATGTATTAACAACTACCAGCGAGCCAACCAAGAGGACCACACCTATCACTAACTACTGCAGAAACGTTTCCAACGTCAGTATTACCACCACACGGCGAAGAGAATTTAATTACGGCTTTTATGACGTGCGACATATTTGCAATAAACATTATCGGTTATCGCAGAAAATTAGATGAGTGTTAACGAAATCGATTTGGAACAGATTAAGTCCATAAAACGAGTTTATTAACTACTGAGATCCACAGAAATCAGTCGAAGGAGCGTGGCGCATCCACCAAAAGTTTTACGGGCTCAACTGTCTGCATTTTATATGAATTAGACTACGGATTATAACCGTGTCACCGTAAAATATTGAAAAGTTTTCGTGGCCAATCATTGATGATCTTCTTTAGACTCTATATTTTAATAGTTAGATTACAAAAGGATTTTACATCCTAATCTATTTGATTAGAATTGCTGTAAACTCTCTGGCGAAACAAATAATGTTCCGCATCACGTTTGCATTTGTTTTTTTTCTTCTTCGGTAGCTTAAGCAAATATTGAGTACGTACACGATAAAAAGCTGAGGAATGCCGCAATGAGAAGAATATCACTGCTGTCTTTTATTTTTTTTGTTGTCTTCTCTCATCATCTCTCCATTCTTCCTCGCCTTTCGTTTCAATACATTTAGCTTTGGCTTCGGCCGTTGTTCGTGATTCATGGTTTTCACAAAACCAGTTTCGGTTTTAGAACGTTGCCGGAGAGTGTGTCCAGTTGCGCCCAGTGCCTTGGCTTTCTTGGCTTCTTTCAGGGAGATCCTTCGTGCAGTACCTCAATTTGACCGCGGCGGTTTGCTGGCCTGGAGCCATCAGACTTCTCGGATTTACAATCATTCAAAAGCCACAACCGGAGGTTATATAGTGAATGTCTATGAAATACTAATAAATATGACAGTGGCACAGTAGATAATGTGGACATAAAAAATTAAAAAAATGTCCAAAACGTGCTTGGGTTTTAGATTTTTGCCTGTAAAACCTGGAAATTCGTAGTTCGAAAGTAAACAGGAATTAAATAAATCCTATAGGGTACCACAGGATTACTAGATCATGAAATTGAAATGGCTCCAGTTACAATGATGATCTACCACAAGGGTGACATCGTTCTTGGAATTTTACTGGTACGGGAATCCAGTTGTACACGGAGAAAATGAAAAAGGAAAATTTACGTAAATATTAAAGCGATTTTGCAATTTATCCCACTATCCTTATCCTGTTTCTTCGTAAGTGAGAATAAAAACAATTTTAATAA